GAGGAGTGTGTGCCTACTGCAGTGGAGCCTGAGCTTGAGCTTGAGCCTGAGCTTGAGCCTGAGCTTGAGCCTGAGCTTGAGCCTGAGCTTGAGCCTGAGCCTGAACCTGCGGCTGAAGAAGCTGAGAATGTGGAGGTGTTTGTTCAACTGGTCCAGCGTTGTGGTCGCGGCGCTTTGGCGCGTTGCAGTATGTTTGATATGCTCCGTGCGCACCCGCGGTGGAAGGCGGCTGTGGATGTGCAGCGTGTGTGGCGCGGCTACTGTTCAAGGCAGCTGGTTGAGGTGTACTATGAGTTTTACACGGATGATGTATAGGAGTTGTTGGCAAGTTAGGCCAGTAAGAGTAAGAAGAAGTGCGGGAGAGAAGGCACAGTGACGTATCCATCTGTTGCGGGTGGTGGCGTGTAGTGCCTTTCTTCTCTTTTCCGGCAAAAATGCATCTGTGCGTGCGTGAGCCTCTGTGGGGAGAGGGGGGCAGCCAAGCAAACAAAACGTGGGTTCGCAGCTTAGCGCTGCGGCGTGCTTTATCGCACGGGGCCTAGCCGGCCACTCACACGCCTCTGCGCCCCGCTTGTGTGTAATGTATTTGCTTGTCCACGTTGGGACGCACATGTAATTCCAGCACCGACGCACGCACGCACGCACGCGACGGGTTGTGTGTATTTGTGAACGTACTTGCGAGGCGGCGGGGGCGGGCAAACGCGTGTCATCTCCGCACCACTCACCTCGTCAGTTATCGTCTTTCGCTTCCTTCTTTCGCTGCTTTCTCAGCTCCAAGGAAGGAGAACCGAAGGAAACAGCAAACACGCAAGCAAAGGAATAGGGAACGTAAGGGAGAGGAATAAAAGAAGGTGAAAGAAAAGGAAGAAAACAAAAACAAAACAAATTATTACGTGACCCACACACCCACACACACGGCAAACAGTCACCACCACCGCCGCCGCCAGAAAAACAAAAACAAAACAAACGAGGGGGGGGGATTCAAGACAGACGAAAGAGAATGCAAATATTTTCGTCTGAGCGGGATACCTACCGTTCTGACGCGAAGTATGAGGAGGAGGAGGCTCTGCCCCTTGAGGGGCTTGAGAAGACCTGTGTGCTACAACAGTGTCGCGTGTTCAACGAGGTGCGTCTTGACATTTCCACCTGTCTGCATTCCATGACGCAGTGCTTGTATCTTTTGTACACCGGCACAACACTCACGGAGGCGGAGGCGACGGATCTTTTCTTCATGTCCACAAAACTCCTGCAGTCCACTCACCCGAAACTTCGCCGACTTCACTACGTGTTAATGAAGGAGCTAAGCCCGCTCGTGGAGCAGCGTTTCATCGCATCGAATTCACTCATGATTGACATCAAGAGCAACAGCGACGCTAGCAAGTCCAACGGCATTCGTACGCTCTTCAAGGTGATGAACAGCTCCCTCTACGCGTCTATGGACCGCACCATTGTGGAGGCCCTGACGTCGCAGAGCAGTGGCGTTGTCTGCGCCGCCATTGTGACGGGGCTGCACATCGCCCAAGTGAATCCAGACATTACAAGAAAGTGGGGCACGCAACTCACCGAGGTGATTTGCAGCTGTGGAAAGGCGCAGTACGCCGCCATTGCGCTGCTGCACAAGATGCGGAAGAATGATCGGCTTTCTGTCATGCGCCTCATTGATCAGGCCAAGAGTGGCGTGATTCGTTCACCAATGGCTTTGTGCCTGCTTATTAAGATCTGTACGGAGTTAATGCGGGAGGACTTTGAGGGGTCGCTTGACATCTACAAGTTTGTGACGCTGATGATGCAGAACACCAACGACCTGGTGGTGTTTGAGTCGGTGAAGTCGATCTGTTCGCTGCGCCACATCACGGCGAAGGAGGTCTCACCAGCGGTGATAATGGTGCACCTGTACCTCAGCGCCCAGAGCGCTGTGTTGAGGTTTGCTGCGATTCGGGTGTTGAATGAGGTGGCCACACAGCACCCGGCAGCAGTGGAACCCATCAACTCGGAGATCGAGAACCTCGTGACGGACCCCAACCGCATCATCGCCACCCTCGCCATCACGACGCTGCTAAAGACGGGAACAGAGCTCACCATTGAGCGGCTTATCACGCAGCTCTCGGCGGCGGGCTATCTGCGGGAGCTGGGCGACGAGTTCAAGAAGGTCATCATCGACACCATGCGGGTGCTGAGCGTCAAGTTTCCCGCGAAGTACAACGCGTTCCTCGGGTTTCTTTCCAAATTTCTCACCGAGGAGGGCGGCAGCGAACTGAAGGAGAACGTGGTGGACGTCACGATTGAGATTGCCAAGTTGAACCCGGGCTCAAAGGAGTCGGTTCTGAGGCACCTTGCGGAGTTTATTGATGACTGCAACTACCCGAAGATTGTGCGCCGGGTGCTGATGTACCTCGGCGAGGAGGTGCCGCTGACGGAGAACCCAAGGACGTTTGTGCGCTACATCTACAATCATGCGACGCTGGAGGGTCCTGAGATTCGCGCTGTGGCCGTCAGCACACTGGCCAAGCTGGCGGCCAGTGTTCCCTCCCTGCGTCGCTCCATTGTCATTCTGCTGAAACGTATCTGCAACGACGTAGACGATGAGGTACGGGACCGGGCCGTGCTCTACACACGACTCTTTCTGAATAAAGATGAGAACATTATTCGTTTGATGGTGCATGATGTTGCCAACGCTGTGGCCATAGGACGCCAGACACGCATCACAGCACGGTCCGCCGTACTGAATACCGCAGCGGAGGACCTTAGCCGACAGAAGACTATCGCCCAGGCGGCTGAAAACGGCGTGGAGGAACCCACGCTGCTTAGCCACGTTGTGCTGCAGGGTCGAGAGAAGATGCAGAAAGTCAAACAGCTTATGGAGCTTGGCGAGCCGTGTGTCTCCAGCGAGCAGGTGCCCTTGACAGACCCTGACAGTGAGTATCTGGTGACAGTGATGAAGCACACGTACGCCTCACAAATAGTTCTGCAGTTTACGGTGAAGAACACGATGGAGAATATTGCGTTTAACAACCTCGTCATCGACGTGAACACGGACGAGGTGGAGGTGGAGCCGCAGTACGTCATCCCCATCGCGACTGTGGTGCCTGGTGCCACGGAGCACGGCTACGTGTTGTTGCGCTACGAGGAGGAACACTACCCGAGTGGGACGCTGGAGTGCCGCCTCAGGTTTGCCATGCAGGAGGAGGGCGGAAGTGTTGAGGAGGAGGAGGAGTACCCGCTGGAAAGCTTTGACATCAACGTTAGCGACTTCATCTCCCCTGTGAACCTTGGCGGCGCCTTCGAGACGCAGTGGGAGAAGCTGCAAGATGAGGAGACGACAGGGACATACTCGCTGAGTTCAATGCGCAACCTGACAGTGGCTGCGCGGGAGCTGGTGGAGTTTTTCGGGATGTATGTTGAGGGCGGCAAGCCGGATAAAATCACGACGTCGTCTCACACGCTGCACATGTCTGGCACCATGGCAAACCGTGCCCGCTCCCTGGTGCTCATCGCCGCAAGAGTGTTCATCGCAAAGGATAAGGGCGTGACGCTACAGTTAACGCTGCGGGGGGCAACGTCGGAGCTGCGCGACTATCTTTCCGCCGCGCTGCTCGCGTAGAATTTGTAGGATTGTTTTTAGCTTTGTGTTTTGTGCGTAGGCCACGACGCTCCGCCGAAAGTGTGGGGTTCATGACAGGCACGGAAGCTGCAGGGCGCGGTGCCGGATGACGATGTCGATGATGCTCGTAATGTGCAGGTGGGGTGTGTTTGGCGGAGGTGCGAAAACGAAACAAAAAACGGCAACTTAGAACATTTTACATTTTTGTTTTTTTGTTTTTACAAAAAACAAACAAACAAGAAACGAGCTGGCATGTGTGTTTGCTGCCGCTCTTTCTCTGCTGCATGAATCACACGCTGTGAAGCAGCAGAATAGGAAAAATGACAAGGTGGGGGAGGGAAGGGGAGGTGGCGTACGCTTGCGTTTGATGCCTCTGAGCACCGGAGGGGTGCGTGGGCAAAAGGCGGCATGAAACGTGTTCCCCTCCCAACTTGCCAGCTCCTCCCCTCCCTCCACCCTCCACCCTCCATCCAGCATGCATAAACGCACATATCCTCCTTTTAGCCGCTCTGTTTCTCACCACTCTCTTGCTTCTGCCTGGTCACACATATGCGTGGTATCGTCATTCCACACATGGACTTCCACGCATATGGCTTTGCACTGCTAACCGACTGGACCTTGTTGTTCCTCCTTGGGCTCTCGTTTTTTTTTTTTTGTCTTTTGTTGGATCTTTCTTTTTCCAGCTCTCTAGCGCAGCTGGGTGTCTGGAGGTGAGGTGAGGTGAGTTACACACAACCGGCCGAAACAGGTCAAGCGCGGGAGTTGGCTGCGCTCTGTGGCGGCATCGATGGACCACTGTGCCAAAAGGGAGTTTGGACGCAACGTCACAAATGCCCCAGCGGGAAAAGAATCTTTTGCGGGATTGCAGCTGGCGACGAGTGCCCTGCAGAGCAGCAAGTCCGCTGAACGCTTAAGGCGACCTCAAAAGCGCGCCGGACGCGGTGATGACCACGAGGATGCGGCCCACCTTGCCACAGCGATGGCAGCAAAGCGGTGGTGCACGGATGAGGAGGAGGTTCGCCGCCAGTCGTCGCTCGGGCTGGTGGCGGGAATTGCGCCCGCTACGAGTCCCGCCCGCAGCGCGTCGGAGAGTGCCAGTAGCATCGAGGCCTGCTTCGACGACGATGCTGTGAACTTGCAAGAGTCGCCGTCTGCGTGTGTGGAGCTGTTGGCTGCCGTGGAGCAGTCCGACACGGCGGTGATGGCGGGGCTGCGTTGCGTGGGCGACGCCACATCCGCCTTCTCGCTCTCCTCGCAACCGTCAGCGCCGCCTCCCTCGCCCGCTGTGATCCCATTGCTTTTTTGACGTCACCCACCACTTTTTTTTTTAAGGGTCGCGTGTGGTGAATCACTAGAGTTAGATGCATAGAAGGACAGAGCAACAGTGGTGGGGTTGCGCGTGTCTGATAGAACGAGAGAGAGAGAGAGAGAGGAGTCGA